TTTAAAGGTAGCGTGGTGTTTTTGATTCCAAACAGCCTTTTTTATTCTAATCCGCCCTTTGTCTCCGTTTCTTTGTGACGCACCTGGCGACCCCCGAGACGAATATAGCGATGTCAGTGCACCACAAAAGATGGGCGACGCCTCCGCGACGCGAGGGGAGCAATCAGTACAGAAACAATACAAGCGAGAGCGAATGTCTCGACGGGAAGGTTCCCGTCTCCTCTGCTGCTTACTTCAGGGCTGTCGGTGCCTCCGGCAGCTCTAGAGAATCGAGAGGCAAAAAACAGGAGAAACAGTTTTTTCCCGTCAATGTTGGCACAGTTACGGCGACGATACTCTAATGCAACGACAACTAAATGACACCATTAAACAAAAAAAGAAATTAAAAAAACAACTTGGTTTCAAAGATAAACAGATGTACTTCTATATCATGGCATGAGAGCGTCTGCCGTTGTTACAGGCATTTTGACGCAAGATACAATATAGTAGGGAATAACTATAACGGAATACGTACTTCCCATCAGCTTTCCACCTGCATTCGTTTCTACGACGATTAAAACACATTTAACACGATTAAGAATTAAATGCAGGCAAAAAATATTGATTTCATTCACTTCTCAATTATTACGAATTAAAAGACAAACTCTTAACCACGGCAGACTTTGACATTCTTTAATATATCGGGACAAATTAAGACACCAATGATCAATCCCAGTTATTGCTCTCTTACTTGGTTAACATACCAAGAACTCTTAAGATTGTAAAAATGGTATAAAGAACTAGTAAGTTTTTTTTAATTTTTTTACTATATGTTTACTCGAGAATATTATTTTTTAAATTTAGTTCGTATAAAATTCAGCTTTTGATAATTAGTAAAGTCAAATTGAAACAAAATCAGTACCGACAAGTATAAGCACACACGTGTGGTTTCTGAAGCGCACATTTTGTCCCGGGAGGAGACATTCTTTCCCAGCTAAAAAGCTGGTCGGAAATCCGCCACCGTCGGTTTTCGAACCCTAAGATCTCCCGCTCAGAACCGTCGCAGAGACTGCGGTAAACAAAGCCAACCGGGCTTCGTCGTAATGAAAATGGAGTTGTGAATATTAACTAATGATCTCAGTCAGTTTAGTCTATAGTCAGTTTAGTTTATACTTTCGTTGAGTCTCGTACATTGTTTGTAAGAGTTTGTGATGAAATTTTGAGTTATTCATATTTCGACACATAAAAGTATAAAGTATTTTATTTCAAATACTTTAAAAATGGTCGAAACATTTCAAAGGTGTTTAACGAGTTTTAGGAATTTTTACATTTTTTAACGGTAGCTTTTAGGGGGGAAATGCAGCCATTCCAATATCCGAGACTCTCAGAAAATACCTATTTTTAAAATATGTTGCTGTCTAAATACATGACAATATTGTCCACAGTAAATATCTTAAACACAGCTCACAATCACTCATTTTAAATTGTCTTGGGGTAGATAACTTACGAAAACTTTTACACGTGTACGAATGGACGCAATCTCCCGCGATACTGCAGAGCGCAGACAAGCTTCTCGATGGAGCTCATCGCCGGCGAACCGGAAGGTGCCCGGCCAGCGCATCCGGTCACAGCGGTTGTACGAGACGTGAATCAGCAGTAGTGGACGCGCCAACCTGAACCCGCGATAGGCAGAGGCAAAAGGTTCTTCCGCTCGTTCTCGCTAATGTTGCAAGGGTCTCTGGACAAAAGCGTTCCATTGCAAGACCTTTATGAACTCTTTGAAACGTAGTAAAGACATTTTTAGTACTCCTTTAATTTCTTTTCTTTCTAAAACTTTAATTGAAGTTGCTTCAACTTACGATTTTAGGTAATTTGAAAGGAAAAATACATATACAATTTAATTAACAATTCGTGAGTAAAACTGAAAAACGTTCTGGAGGAAACGCCCCCAAAATCATGGGAAATGGTATTAGAAATAATGGGCGGGGGGCCTGCTTTTCTAACTGCGTTGTGCAGTAATTCACCCAAGACAATATTTTATCTCAAAATGCAACAAAAAAGAAATAACCAGCTGTCAAATTAGCACAATACCTAGATTTCTCTTGCTCTGTCGGTAACATCAATAAATCCTGACCTAGCAACGAGATGTGCTTGACTTTCCACAATCAAGCCTGGATTTCCTGTTTTTATATGTCCATTCGAACCAAATTGTTCGTACCGTTTTGTTATATTACTCAATTCTCAATCATTAAACAGGAATTTCACTATATAGTCCGATCCGCCATCACAAACTTATTTACAATGCCCTTGAAATAGTTGGTAACTCCCTAGTGGAAATACAAAAATATCACAAAATGTTACCGAATAAAAAATACCTTTGGAATTATTGAGAAATTTTCCGAATGTGAATTCATGAAAGGCATGAAACAAATGGTACGGGTCCATAAAACACCGTTTTAACTTTTTCGCATTTTTTTTAATGTTTTAACTCGTCACATTTTGCTTTGGATTTTTAGAAAATACATAGAACATACTTTACTATCGAACCTTTGGGCAACCAGTTAATCTGAAAAGACTTGACGAAATATGAGTTTCCTGGCGATCAAGTAACGCCGTTCGTATGGTTTGTTTGCATCGGCTTGTCCCAAGAAACTCTCACCTATCGGTTCCAAAAATGTCGTGAGCTCACCCTTCGGAGTTTTTGTATCAAAAACTCCGGCCCCCGCAATAATCCCTGGAGAAATAAAATCGGCCGCAGAGATGTGGACGTTCCGATCTGTGTGGCGAACGGGTGCACGCGGCCTGTCGCTGTGGACTGGACGAAGCCCATGCGGCGCCACTCCCGCGCGTTTATAGTGGCTCCCCGCTGACAACGCGAGAAAGGTGACAAACAAATGACGCACCGACTACAATTATGAAAATATTTAGTAAAGAATTCCATTGGAGGAGATAATTATTACGTTTCATTGATCTTAAGAAAGCTACGAGACAAAAAACTCGCTCCTTTACTTTCGAGATCAACCAAAATGCCAAAACGGTCGGAGTGAATATGCACGTACGTAATTTTTTTTTAATCGTACCAATAATCGTACGGGAAAATACACTTGATCACTTTGTCCGCTTTAAGAATTGTTCCCACCTTGCTTTCTATAATTTGTGGAAAGCAGCCCAAACTTGTATTCTTTTTCACACTAGCATGATTATGCACAAAAAATTACATATTTGGCTTCAACGTGGATTAATTAAAAATTTATGATCCATTAAATTAATATTGTATATAATTAATTTTCTTATAATACACATAATCAGAAAACATCAAGAGGCCCTTCAGTATCTTACAGAAAATGGACAGAAACAGACCTTGGGAGAATGTCACGTAATGACGTGTCACGATATGTAGGAAGTGAGCAAATTATGTTGAAAATTAGTCGAGATCAAACTTTCCAATAGTTCCACTGATCAGATTTTATGCACATTGACATTAAATATCGACATCTATAAATTAGTAGAAGAGGGCGTTCCTCACAACGTAAATTTACAATCAGAGAAGAGAATTGTGTTAATATTCTAGCCTTCCAGTAATTAATATTAAATAAGCCGAGACTTATAAAAATAAGCAAAATAGTGTCACCTCTGAGCTCCTGATGTAGGCAAAGAAAGTTTGTATAAAGAGGAATTCTCCATGTAGCCCACTGACACATGGACTACAGAAATCTCACGGAAGTAGCGAGTGTTAATGTGACATTAAAACGTGCACGAAAATTTAGACCACAGGAACTCATTCGGATGTTCTATAATGCACACAATTTTCATACAAAATCCTTTTCTATATCTAACACTAATACTTCCATAATTTGTTGTAATCCTGCTCCTGCAATGTGTATTCGCTTTCCTCTCGTCGTAACTGAACTGGCAATTCCGAATATCATTTGAAAAACCCAAAGTTATTAAACCTAACATACGTGGAGCCAATTAAAACCCATGGCAAGTACGTCCACCAGAATTATTCTGGAGGGCACAAGGAGTTCAAATTAACAATTTTATGTTCTTTATGAGGCAGCTGTAAACAAAAACAAAATATGACTATGATATACACACGCGTGCGAAAAATGCGATTCAATATTACAAAACTTGAAATAGTACGTCAATGAAACATCCAAATTAAAACGTTGTACATTACAAGTATTATTGGTAAACAGCGATGGAACCGGCAGATGAATCTTTTAGGACGAAACTACCTGAAGAAATTTATTAGGTTTTGCGTATGAACCTAATTAACCTGCACGTCTCGCAATGCACAATATTTTTTTCCCCTTCAATTTTATCGCCGAACCAAAATGAGTTTCTATAAGTTGTAAACACCAATCCGAAAGCGGCGACCACCGCCTCTTCATTGTGCACCACGCGCTTGACGACATGTGACCGACCGATACATCGGCTATGACCGATACATCACTCCGTAGTTACCACTAAAATGTGTAACAAAGAAGAATCATTGCACACGCCATTCCATATCAATGAGCATTGTTTGCTGAAGACATATGACTAACTTTAGAAAGATTAAATGAAATTTGTGTTACGAAGTCGATTAGGAGTAATTAACAAGGCATTAAAATAACTACAGAAGCAAGCTAATAAAACGGTAGTCATTTCATGATTAATCATTTCCCGCTTCACGGTCACAGAGATAAACACGTTGCAAAAAACTAGACCGAACATAGCTTTATACATAGCAGTACACACACTTACTGGGTAGTCTAACATTCAAATATTACATTTTTACATTAAAGGGGGGCGAGAACACGCATTCCCGCACAAAGCAACAATTAAATATCTTATTCTCTCTACATGTTCAAACCAATGGCGCTGTTGCGTGCCGGGCTACATGGCGTCGTAAACAGCGCCACGATCAATAGACAAGTTAAGTCACTTCCTAACAAGATAATACAAAAGAAATAAGTAAACCAGTGAAGAAGAAATTATGTTCGTCTTTTCACACGAAACAAAAAATGATGCCTTACCCGATGCTGGCCGGATTCACCTTCCGTTCTCTGGCGCTTCGACGAGGGTGCATCACCGTTGAACGCCATGTTGAAACTGAAAGAACACCAACGCTCGCTCTAGGGTGCAGCACTGACTGTCGGAAAATGCTTCTGTGTGCGAGAAGTTGGGGCGCGTTCACACATGTATAGCGTGAAAACGGCATGCAACTCAACAACAAGAAAATAAATGTATGTGTTGATTTACATATTTCCCTACATTAAACAAGTGATACATTATACTTTATACTTACAGTTATTTTAAATGTTGTTGTTAATTATCTCATTACTTTATCCAAAAATACTCAAAACTGAGATATTTCAATGATTACAGATTCATGTAACAGAACATTTGTAATGTGTTGTGTGGCTAATCTGTTACAATTCCAAATTCCAATAAATTGTCGTAGGTGCGCACCACTTAACCTACAATCATTACAAATTTATATTAAAATCATTGAAGGTAGAATTGTCACACATTTGATTATGTGGTTCTTATTTCAACTCATTGCTTCATTGTCATCAACGATCATTAAGTCTTTGATGTAGTGCGTCATTGCAGGTATTGAGATTAGATAAGTTGAGACCTCCTCAATGAAATTCGGTTCAGTGTTGAAATCTGTATTAATAGGTATACCTATCGGAATAACATTTTTCGATTCTGTGTGCTATGTGGCAAGAGTGGAAGGTATATCAATGCAACCAGCTCTTAATCCCGAAGATCAGGTTGTGGATTATGTACTTCTAAACAGATGGTCAGTGAGGGCGTACGAGTTGTCTCGTGGAGACGTAATTTCTTTAGTATGCCCGAAGGATCCTGATCAGAAACTTATTAAACGAGTCGTCGGTCTAGAGGGCGATATAATTAAAACAATAGGTTATAAGAAAGCCTTCGTGAGAGTACCACAGGGACATTGTTGGGTGGAAGGTGACCACAAAGGTCATTCATTGGATTCTAATGTGTTCGGTCCTGTGGCCTTAGGTTTAATTACAGCAAAGGCCTCGCACATTGTGTGGCCACCTCATCGATGGAGAAATTTGAAAGGAGAAATACCTTGTGGACGGTGCCCTGTTAATTATAGAGCAGAAACGAGTTAGTTATTACTTAATTAGTTCAATTCTATTAGTCTGGGACAATAGCAAATAATACACATTACAAAGAAAATGCGTGCTGTGTGTTTTGTGGAACGCATGGAGTTCCAGGCAAGTGGGAATGTATTTCCCAACTCCATGGCATTAGGAGATGTTAACAATGATGGTGATAGTGAACTAGTTGTTGGTAATACTTCTGGAGAATTGACCATATTTAAAGGAGAAAAAATCTTGCAGACATTTACCAAGTTGGGAATGATCACAGCTGTAGGCATTGGAGATATTTTCAACAATGGGCAAAATGCATTAGTTGTTGTTAGCGGAGATGGATGGTGTAGAATTTTATTTAATTCAAAATCAACAGATGCAACCAATGAACAAGTTTGTGGATTGTCTGTGGTTCATGCACAACAAATTCCTCCTAACACCAAGGTAATTAATTTTTTTTATGTATCCCCTAATACCACTGTAGTGTAATATTGAAAGCAGTTACAGATACAATATTCAAATGTTGGAAAAGGTTTTTTATGACCTGATAGTCAAGTCTGTGAAACAGAACTTGCCTTTTCATTAAGTACAAATTCAGTATTTACATTCAAACATAAACTGTTTGGTTAAATAATTACTTCTGAAGTTGGTGACACTTGAGAATAAGTGATAAATGATTACTATTATTTATTATTAATATTGCCACTCATGTTTTTCAGGTAGTTTTACTTGAAGATGTTGATGGTGATGGTTGTATTGAATTAGTACTAGCTCTAACAGATCGTGTTGTGCGATCATATCGATGGGAATGTGAAGAGATAACAAGTACTGGTAATATTGCAAGTGGTTCCAAAGGCAATATTGGAAGTCCTTCATATCCAGGAAAATTACGTGGGCTTAATAAATGGGAATTTGCTAGTCAGATAGGTTCTGTTACCATCAATCATAATGCTGATGGTACTCCATGTCTCTTGGTAGCTCAACCAGGTGGAACATTCATGAAAATTAGATGCCCTGAACCTGGCACTAAAGATACGTAAGTAAAATTGTATATTATTCTCAACTGCGTTTCCAACGTTTAACAAAATATTAAATACTTTCTTGATTTTGATATTTTATAGTGGTGATCTCGCACCCAGTTACATAGATTATCATCCTTTGTCTCAATGTCATATGAGAAATCCCAATGTTTCTACAGAAATTCTGGGAGACATAGAACCTCCTGCTTCATTACGTAAAGGAGAAAGAGGAATGCGTTATGCTGTGGCTACACTAGATGGCACTCTCATGCTTGTTGAAGATGAAGAAATTCTATGGTAAATTCTACTCTCTGATACTGTGAATTTTTAAGATGTATGAATATTCATTTATTGATTTTACCAAGAGCATAATTGCTTTTAACAATTCGTTACTCTAATATTTCATAAACATAGCAAAGTTATAACTTGTTTTGCAACAACTGCTTTTACCAACAACACATTCAAAAGTTGGAATTCTTAAAAAATGTGCCTACAACTCTTGGAAATGCTGGTTATGTTGTCCTTCCGTAACCTGAAAGCATCTTCTTGTGTTTTTGGATAGAAATAACATTTCATACAGTAAGGCTGGGAAAATAGAAAAAGGAGGCTGGTTGTTGTTGTCCTTGCTTTGAAGGTTTTAATCTTTTCAATTCAATCCAATGATACTCTACTTTATGTGACAAAGACAGACCATCAGGCCTGCTGTTCCGTCTGACCATGCTAATTTTACTTTGCTCCTTTCACCATCTAGCGGAGAAAGAAGGTATCACCCAGCGGACGAAACAGGCGATTTAAATTTAGCTTAGAGGTTTCTTTTAGGTTTGAAGATCTTTTACATGCAGTAAATCCACGATATGGGACAGTCAGCCTTACATCACTTTAAAGAAAGTCATATAAAGAATTTTTTCTCCCTTAAAAATCTGCCGCTTCTATTAGGTTTGAGCCAATGTACTTCTGGCCCAAAGCAAAGTAGCTTGCGTTTCACCAAGGATGGTCCAGGTTCGGTTCCCGGACAATCTCATGTGAAATTTGTACCAAGAAAACGAGTTAGCATGCTTCACAAGAGCTAGTCCAACCCTACTCCTATCCTAATTCCCTCCGAATTATGGCTGGTGTGTAGTGACTCAGGAGCGGGATGTAAGGGGCGCGTAAGTGGAGAGATTACCTGGCGGTCCTCTTGGCTACCGACTGGATAATGTTAACGGAGGATTACTCTAAACAGCACTCAATGCTCTTCTAAGCGCTGGGAGGTGCGTTGCGTCTATAACAACACAACAATTTTTTTAAAAAAAAACAGTAAACGTGGGTATAACAGCCCCATTCATTAACCATTGTACCACCAAAACTACCATATACTGTTATACTACCTTTTCAGTTGTAAGTAGGCACATTTGACATCTATTTTTGCAAAATACAGCAGAAGATTTGACCTCTATAAAAGGAGTAGACTTTTGAATTGAGATTGAAATGCAACATAAAGTATGTTCAGTTATCACTAGAGCTAGGAAGTTTATGCAAGCTTTTAGCCCTCAAATATGCCACAATAATGTTGGAAAATGCACAGAAATTTTTAAAATATGCAGTGTTTAGTCACATAAACGTATTTTACAGTGCCACTACATTTTTTTGCTACTCAGAGAAACTGAGTTATCAAATTAAAAAGATTATTTTGTTCTTCTGCTTTTTATTTTCATTAAGAACTCAGAAAGTCACAAGAATTTTAATCAGATTTTCTGTTGTTAGGAAGTGTCTCCTATCAGATAATATAATTTTGTTCTTAGAAAATGACATTTCTGCATCACATGGCATTACGGGTGCAGACGTATATAGCGACACGTTTCTGCTGATTACATTATCTGGAAGATGAACACTATTTCCTTCCATGAGTTTACCCTGTCTGTAAAGTATGAAGACCTAGATTCTTTCCAAAAATTTCATTTATTTTCTTCCTAATTGCTTCACCCATCTCACCTAGAGCTGTCACTCTTGCCTCCCGAATAATTTGTTTTGCTTAGAATATAGCTGCATGAACCAAGGCTCCCCACCAAGTAATAATAGACTCAGAAGAGCAAAAGATCATCTTCCATTTCCTTGTATATAGAAATTCTTTTTGGAGCTTGTGGATTTTTTTCTTGGTCTTGTCCAATAGCTTTGTTGACTTTTGGACTGAATTCTCTGATTTCCTGCTTCTTAGTGCAATGCATGTGCACAGTTTGGTGCATGCAATGTACCTCATTAGGAAACTGAATTCTTATCCTCTACTCTTCATCATTTGGCTGCAAAATTCTCAGAGATTGGTTAATAAATCTTGTCATTTCAATCAAAATTTGTCTTTTCAAGATACTGGCAAGCAAGCTAACTGTGCCAGTTGGCATTTCAGTAGGGAGGGAGGGAAGGAAGGAAGGAAGGAGGTGGTATGTGCAACACTCTTTCTGTGGGGGGAAGGACTGAATTAGAGCATGTCTTCCAATACAAGCTCAATCTGAGGATACTGAAAGAGTTTGGCGTCAAGTCTTGGCTTTAAAATGATGGCAGCAGATATTACTTCGGTGCCATTGGCCGTCAGTAGTCTGAAACTTTTTGTATTTGAAGCAACAAGAAAATTCATGCTTTGTATTCGTAAATATTTTTATATTATTTTAGACAAGTCTAAACATATGCAGAAACTTTCATTTATAGGCCAAAAAGCTCTGAATATGCAAAAAAATTGAATAATTCTCATATAAATACAAAATCGTAAAAAATAATGATTCGGATTAAATTGTTGAATCAACACTTGGGTAAATTGATTTCATTTTCCACAATTATTTTTTTAAAAATATTATTTGAATTTTGTACTGTTATTGATACCAAACTATCTTAAGAATTTAAACCAGATTGTCATGGGATTTTTAAGAACAGAAAATCCTTAATACACATGCTGTCCTTTAAATGGAAAGTAAAGCTGTCAGGCTCATTACATTCATTAGAGCATGTAAAAGATGCCACTGAGCAAAATCTGTATAGATCTTTAATTGGTAAAACCTTGACATGCAGTGTCTGGGACTACAAAACAAATGTAAAAAAAATTAATTAATGGCTAACTTGCAGATTTACACTTCTTGAAATAAGTTTGCAGTCTAATCCATGAAAATTCTTTAATTTTAAATTTGAGAAATCGTAAGTACATAAGAAATTGTCAGAGCTACAGCTCACAATTCACCTAATAAAGCATAATTAGAATTAGATGATCAACCAACTAACATTATAGAATTTAACCCTATTCCCGTACAACAACAAAAAAAATAATGCCAAATCAAATGAAATTAATTCACAGCTAAACCTACTCAATGCGATGCAAACTCGCTCAATGCATATATACTGTGGAAATCTGTCCAATGTGAACATAAATTATGGTCTTGCCAAACAAATTCTACAGTATTACATTGTATAATGTGGAATGTTGTCTAGTACAGAAAAATTACTGGTCCCTTGAAATTTCCCGTTGATCAAGATTTACAGTTCAACGATCAAATTTATAATATTCTGATAATTTTTCATACATATTTTCAGTTATTTCAATGCCAAACATCCATACTTGAGTTTTGAATGTGGCAACAAATTCTATTTCAGGTCCATTCAAGTGGATCATCAGTTATTTGCTCTCACAAAACTGAAAATCCTAGATGGCAGTGATGAAACTGGTGAAAATATAGTTGCATGTTCATGGGATGGGCAAACATATATTCTTGATCAAGAAAAGAAAAGTGTCAGATTTCAGTTGGAAGAAAGCGTTCATGCTTTTTGTGCTGGCTATTATTCCACAGAACCTGGGAAACATCCGGTGCCATGTCTTGTGTACACTACTTTTACAAACAAGGTATTATTAAAACATTACATATTAATGTTCATTTTATGGAGGTTACTAACTGTATTCTTAATATTTCAGATTTATCTGTACTATAATGTATCATTACCAAGTATGGTGACTCGCAGATTTACACCCCCTGTGAATAATGGCTCTGAAGATAGTCATAAGAAAATAAAACTGACTGAATGGGTACTGTACGGAATTTAAGAGTAAATATATATATATATATATATATATATATATAATTACTATGATTATTATGTGATTATATGTGAAATTACTATGATAATATGTCCTTGTACAGAATTGTAATATTAAAACAACCACTGGTTTATCGTTGTCTATCTTATTGATCTCACCATGAACTTGCAATCCATATAACATTTACTAATTTGCATAAGTTTATTGAAGATTGTTCTTGCTCAGTATTTGTTAGTTGCACTGTTACACACCAGACACCAAACTTGTAACTTGTTTGCATTGCTGCTTGAACAGAAAATTCAGTTATTTAATGATATGAGGTAATTATGTGAATACACTTATATATCCAATAGCATTTATATGATCATTGTGGGAATAATGAAGAGTCATGAAATTTGAAACTGATTTGACAAAGAAAACAAACTGGAAAGTATTTTCAGAACTTTTAGAATTCAAATATGACTCCATTTCTGAAAGTTAGATGGAATTAAGGTTGATCTGATAACCATAACTGATATCAGCATATAGAGATGGTTTATTGAGGCCAGAATGTAACATATGCTTTCCTTATTACATGCATTACAAATCTATTTTGAATCAATTGGTGGGGATGTTGGTGTACATGTGGCATGTCTTGACACTTAAGATTTAATTCTGAAGATCATATTTCATTAATCCAGATATTACTACAACTATTGTTTTCAAATTATTGCAATGGTTTTGCAAAATTGTATAACAAATGAAAAATTAAATATTTTCTTTTATAAATATGTTATATCAATAATACAATCTTCAAAAACAGGTGTCTATTAAAAGGTCGATGGAAATATGTAGTTTTGTAAAATAAGTTAATAATAGATGAAGAACAAAAATTATAAAAAGGTTTAAATAGATAAAGAGAAAAAATGTAACGAATAGTTAACAAAACAATGTGTTATTTATGCTGGTGGTCACAACCTTTTGGACACAGTGCTGTGGAGCATTTTTAAGAAACAGTTACATTTCCTGGGACACTGACCACATCATGTTTGTTCTCCTTGATATGAAACAAGATGATCCATTCCCACAAATATTGAATATTCGTGTAGAATTGCAGATGATCTGCTATAGGCCTTCTTTTTGAATGTTTGTAAAATGTCAACAGCAATCACCCCCCTAAAGGACAGATGATTTATTTTACCTCTGTTGTATCGATATATTTGCTAAGCATTTGGCTCAGCCATATCAATACAATGACTGATGAGTGGAAAAAAGCACTTTTTCCATGAAAAGATATTTCCTATATTTTTGTTATATTTCTTTACAATATTTGCTTGTTGAATATTTATGTTATTTACATTTTTGGAAAACCGATTTATCTGAAATGTGGGCAAAACTTGATTGTCATTGAACACAAATGAAAGGACATTTGTTTCATCCCATTTACACATTTCTTTTTCATCTTCTGATAACACAGGTGTAGAACCCTCTTTCTTTTTTCAGGTCATCTGACCAAATCAGAGGGCAGTTTTTACCAAGCCAGTTTGCTTGTATGGTTCAACATATTTGGTCACTATCGTTTATAAAGTTCACACCAAACGTTTAATGATTAACTGACAATGTGTAACGTAAATGTTAACCAGTATTGCACAGTACAATATTGAGACTGTTTTTAATTAATTTTAGTTGTTCCAATTCAGTAATGATGTAGTAAAACAGTGAGAATATACCTTTATTTTTCGGTGGTGCTCATTTCAAAATATTTCTCAGAAGTCGAAGCACTTCAGAACTCACCCTGCACTCCAACAATATTGGGTATTCTAAATTTGAACAGTAATGTTTCACTGTAACCTTCAGTAAAGCCTAAGTACAAAATTAATTTTAAACAATTCTTAAACGCTCATTCTACCCTCAAAAAGTATTTTTTGGAAGAGGTCCAAAAAATTTTGAACTTTGGCTACTTTTGAAATTTCAGGTTATAAAGGAAATCAATAAACCATTTTTCTAAGCATACTTTGATAATCAAGCAAAAAATGAGATTGCATACTTGAGAATATTTTGAAAATGTACTATATCTAAGTTCTTTATGTAAAGTACCCCCAAAAATTAAAATATCAATTTCCAATTCCTAGAGCTTCAAGAGTAGATCTAGGAATATCTATTTTACAGCAAATTCTGTGAACAGTAGAGGCACTACTGTTGTTTGAACAGACAGAAGGTATAGGACACTGTCCATTTTCAGCTGAAATGAAATTATTGGCACCATTATATAGGTTTCTTGCCTTCTACTCAGGTATAGGTATTCTTAAGGAAAAACCTCTACATAATGTCATAACCATATGGAGGGTGAGTGTGTTCATGTGTATATAGAGAGGAAATGGAAGAAACTGAATAATACAGTCAACTCCAGTTATAGTGAACTTAAGTCGCTGGTCCTGTGTCATTTACATTACAAATAAGTATAAGATTCAGGTATGGTGAACATAGGAAATTAATTTGATCTCACATGTTATTAGGCGTGTAAAGTGCCTTCAGAGAGTGGGGTGGTGTTCTAATAGTGCAAGGGGCATTGAAAGGTCTCAAGATGGCACAACTGTCTCAATGACTAACAATGCAAAGTCAATGGAGAGAACACAAACTCTCAAGAAGGATCTAGAGAAATTACTAAAGAAAAATGCTTGAAGCAAATAACTGGAAAAAAAATGATTTTTTAAGCATAAATATATTGAAATTTTCAGTTCATGCTGTTTATTAATATAGAGATACAGCAAAATTCATTATATCAATCATTGTGAAGAAATTCTATTTAATTTTGACTTCATCAGATATAGTGAGCCAACCATATTAGTCCCAAGAAGTTTTCTATAACCAAAGTCGACTTTATGTACATTTTAACACCCAGAAAATACAATCTTTGTAATATGAAACTTTAAGATTTTAAAAGTTTCATTTCATTGAAGGCCACAAAAGACTGTAAGCCCTCCTCTTGTTCAAAGGAAACTTGTGATTTGTCTTATTTAGGAGGATAAGCCCTTCTTGAGCCCTGGTGTGTATGAGGTTTAGATTTTTACCACGAAATCTCAGACTTTAGTTATCTTGAAATTGGCCGGACCAACAATGGCTACGATAGGCATCACAGGATTACATACAACTGACACTATGTGCACTACATTTACAGAGTAAAGAAATCTAATAGGCTGCTCAGGAATTCTGTGGAGAACATTTGTTGCATAAATATTTTAAGCACGTACCATTACAATATTAAAGTCTATGAAATCCTTGAAAAACAAGGGAAAAAATTACTTATGTCTCTATTAATGGAAAATGCAAAAAAGTCACAAAATCTGGTCAATTTCTTTTGCTGTAACAGTTATTGTATACACTAAAAGCCCTTGTTCTAAAATGAAAAGAATAATGACATTTCATTAAAATCCTCCTCCTAATAACCAGTATCCTAGTTCTGACCTTTGTGGTACACCATATTTTGTCGTCATTTTCCCACACTTGCCACCCCTCTTCTATCCACAGCAAATGCCTTCATCCAATGAAGCCATTTTTATTCTATTCCAAAGTGTCTGAGTTTATATATTCTCTGTAGGTTATGCCTTAATAAAGGCTTTTGAGAAGCCCACATAATATATTTGTGGGATCCATGACCAGCTTGGAAGATTTTTCTTGACAAACCATGTTTAATGTCCATCATAGGTTTGTTGCTGATTAAAATGCTATATGATCTGTTTTAAGAGCAAATTCAAGCCAGGAAATGTTACCTATCAGATGGTACTTTGTAGGCTCATCTGCATATAATGCTTCTGGATGATTTACAGATTTTACTTTACCTCTGCTTGCAAATATGAGTCACCCTTACAATTATACAGTGATATGGTAATATCCTGGTGCCTCAACTTTCAGAACATCTTATTTAATATCAGCGCTATTTCAATGGCAACACCTCAGCAGAATAGGGACTTTGGGTCCACCTACTGACATAACGTTTCCTTAGTGATGGATATGTTACAGTGTACATCTAACCTCAGTTTGATTAGGTGACAGATTCATTAAGCAGAAATTCTGGAATCTTGGTGGAAAGACCTCAAAATAATCTTGTGTGTTTTTAACGTGATGAACATATGACATAACATAAGTGTATTTTGAAAATAGAGCAAGTGGAAGAAAGCAAATTGTACTGTATTTCCTGAATATCTTGATATACACAAATTAAGGCATAGAATAGTGAAAAGCAAACACTAACTAAAATTAATTGACTAATAATATTCCACAAACTGGAGATCTAATACATAAGCAACATCTACAGAGCAGGTTTTAACAAGCCAGATCAAAATGTGGTGGTTATCAACGTTGTGGGAGTAAGAACTGAAAAGGACTTTACTACAGCGGGCACACACCATTAGGGCTGCCAATAGCCACATGGCAGTCATCATGTTGATAATAAATTATTTTATGAGCCCTTGTCAATTGGGAACTAAAATTAATTTTGTAAGCTTTCACATGAAGTTGGAAAAATGTGTTAAGGCCTTCTCATCTCTACAAATTTAGCTGAATGAGTCACTTGGAATAATACAACATGAATTGCGATTGCATTTTATAGTCCTCTTTTAGGAACATACTACTATATTGAACATGACCGGAAAGGAATCTCAAATATTTCGCTCTTTACACAAATGCAAAAATATCATTAAAATATATTTATTATAAGAAATTTTATACAAAAGTTATGTACATTCATTGACATAAAAATCTCAAAACACTGTTGGACAGGACCCCCAGAAATGCCCAGGAAAATGCCAAGATCTAGATTTGCCAGTAATTCGAAGAATTAGTTTACTGTTTTAAACCTGTCACACGACCGTTGCTTTGATGCAACATTATTAATATGCATTATAGATTATCACTATCTTATGCAGAATGGCCAAAATGCTCATGTGCTGTTTTGCTCAAGAAGCAGTGTTATTCTTTGACATGCATTACTTAACGCACATCAAAGCAACGCTTGTGTGCAGGGGCCCTTAGTTTTGAAAAACCACTAATACAAAGTTAAGTATGTTAAAGATCTAGGGAAAAAGTATTTTTATTACACTCGATTAACAGTTTAAAGTATGATTTTTGTGGAATCTTATACAATCAGAACTTCCATTTATGTCATGAACCTTGTGTTTAAGTACACCAAAATCTGAAGCATCAAATAAAATACTGTCTGAAGAATTAGTTTCCTGTACAGGGTATAAAATATTTCAAAATTCCTAGAAGAGTGTTTCCTATTAAGAATCTATTTAAAAATACTAAATCAATAAAACATTTTATCTACCTACAGTTGTATCAAATAATACTAAATCAATACATCAATTCTTCAAAATATCTTCTTTGGTTAATTTCCTGGGTTCAAAACAGCATTTCCATGAAATTCCATGGTTTCCCTTATATTTTGTTCTATATCTTCCAGTTTATCAACGCACTTTACTGTTGGAGTTGTTCGGAACCGCGATGTTGACTTACGGCTACTTCGCCTCACTGGCGTGACTATGTAATTCACGTTCTGGAATGACCCCTCGCTGCTATTAATGGACCTGCAATATAAAATATTTACTTAGCCTTATGTTGTAATTAAGCAGATTGTATGGTTGAAAATGTAAATTCTCAATATCTATTTTTGTCAGAATATCAATTTATTGGACACAAAAAGGGTTACAAACGAAGTAACCAGGAGATTCATTCTACTTTTATATACTGATCCCCTAGAAACAACTCAGTTTAGTGTTACATAACATCTCTCACACACACACGCGCGCGCGCAACTCACACACACACACACACACACACACACACACACACAAGCAAACACCCATTTTCGTAGTGCTCATTTAAAACATTTATAAAATTCCGTATTTTTGAAGTCAGCAGAGGAACTGAGACTCCTTGCGTATTTAAAATGAAAACCCAACTTATGGATACAAATTTTCACAGCAGTTTAAATATTAACTCTTGCAACGTAGCACTGTTTTGCTCCCCTGTAGAAATTTTTTAATGCAAAATCACAGCGGATAAAAAGTTTAATTTTTGTTAATTCCATCAGTAAACACACACTTAGCTTCTTAGCAACCAGCTTTTAATAACTCTTCAAGAGCACGTTCATAACAACGGCTGCTATAATGCTCGAGTGCATTCAATATATTTTAGCTCTTGTGTTAAGATTTTACTAGTGCTCATAAATCTTTGGATACAAGTGTCCTTTTTGTCCCATTTCATGCCACTTGTACCTTTTTACATTTGCTCCTTCGCCTAAGTATCAACGTTGTCATTAGATAATACCTCTCAGGACATTAGCAATGTACAGAGATCTTCTGGCAATCTGAAAATTTCTTATCCAAAGTTAAATCAAATTTTGATACAATTACATCTGGTGTTCAACAAGGTTTGGTGTTTGGATCTTTGCTCTGTCTATTATATGTTAATGATATTCCAAGCTCATCCCATTTCTCTGTAATTTCTCAGGCTCATTTCCGGGCAAAATCTTTGAATCATTAAAATCAATTAAAAGCTATTTGTCCATAAATGAATTGAAATTAAACGTTGATCAAACAGTATTAATCAATTTCAAGTTGTATCACAGCCACCAACCCCAAAACATAAAAGTGGAAGTAGACAATGAATCAGTGAACCAAACTGAATGTCATAAGTTCTTAGGAATATTAATAGATCAAAACCTAATATATAACAAACAAGTTGATACACTTTGTAATAAAATAAACACTAATATGTTCCTCTTGAGGTACTTTTCCAGATACCTGGAAATTGATGTACTTATTTCCGTATATTAATAGGACAATCTTCTCTCAACTTCAATACAGCATTGAAATTTGGGGTGCTACTCACAAAAAAAAATGGATAGATAAATGGTCCTACAAAAGAAATGTATAAGAAGCATTTTTAAACTGAATCCCAGACTGTCCTGTACAGTTTTACTTATTAAATATGAAGTATTCACTGTTGTAGCACTCTACTCTTACAATGTATTATTATTGACAAATAATCAAAATCAATATTTTGTGAGCAATCAACAGATACATAACCTTCATAACAGAGAACACGGACAACCACAGGATATACACTAGCAAGTCTTCAACTAACAAAGAAAATTTCTGCATTGCTGCACAGCTCTTCAATAAACTCTCAGTTAAAATAAAAACTGCTGATGATAAATACTTCAAAACACTGCTTGAATGTCATCTTGCTTTAACTTTCTGTAATTAAAAACCATGTACTGCTACAAGAGTGACCACTCTTTATCTTTCATCATTCAGTCCAATAACGTACTATTCAGTAATGTAAAAAATAACGTAATTATATGTCAAGATACTGTAATTAATGTATTTATCATTAATCGTATATCTACTCAAGTTATTGTAAGATATTAAACTGCTACTGTAAGATAATGGAATGCCCTAATTGTAAGCTATTTACCACTGTATCATAATCTACTGGTTTATTGTTGATATTCGTTATGTGTTAATGAGGCTTTGTGTAGTTTAAAATGTAATTTAACTTAATAAGTATTCCGAGCAATTGCATTATTATCCATGTAATTCATTGAGTAAACAATTTGCATTATTACTGTAAGATATGTAATACGTAAGAACTTAAATTAATGTAATTGTATATATTAATCAATTAGATATATTTTTATAGTGTGATTTAGAAAGATAACGTAAACTTACATTACAGAAAGTTAGTGAAATGAAATAACAGTAATTTTATTAATTTCTAGACTGACTTAGCTTGATGCTTTATGAAAGTTTAAAAGCCAAAAAAGGACGTCCTCCACGTCGTCCACGTCGTCGTCGTCCACGTCGTCGTCCTCCACGTCGTCGTCCTCCACGTCGTCGTCCTCCACGTCGTCGTCGTCCTCCACGTCGTCGTCGTCCTCCACGTCGTCGTCGTCCTC